TTACATGCATAGCGTTTTAATTCATATAACATCAGCAACTGGTTTGTATGGTGCACGGTGTTTCCCAGTAAGAAAAAAATAAGTCTTTATGTCGTCATGTCAGCAGCTGGCACTGCATATCTCTTCAACGTTTATGCAGTACCTGAGAAGATAAATCAGTTTATTTTCGAGTTGTTTATTCTTAATTTGCGACAAGTTAAAGACACCAAGGTGTCCCAGAAGAGACGTATTTGTCGGCCATGTCTGGGATCACTCGTGGTTATTTCTCCGCTTGGGTAGACGTGTCGTAAGTAGTGTGTGGTCGACAAGATAAAGATTCCCAATCAAAAGCCAGGGAAGACGGAATGAGTGGGACAACCTTTACTGTTTTGAAAGCGTGTACACCAAGGCTGTGTGGGCAGTCGCCGCAAGTGTGCTCTCCAGACAAGTTGTTGTCTGTGTCCGCCTTCGAGGTGTTGTGTCCCAGCGCGTGTGCGCGCTCCGTTGTCTCCGCGTCCGCCAGCCAATCAGAGGGGAGACAGCGTTGATTGGCCTGGAGCACTCACGAGGCCAATGACAAGCCTCGCACCTCCCAGCAGCGTATCGACAAGGAGTGTGAGGCGGGCAGGAAGGCAGCGTGACAAAGGCGGAGGGCAAGGAGACGCGAACTGCCACAACGTCTATTCTCACGACATGGGCGCTCAATCACAGCTGCATCCGCCTCAGAATTTTCCGCGGACATCACTTCTCTCTATGACCTCGTGTCCACGTGCCCTTTACGCTAACTATATCCTACGCATAATGAACTCAAAGATGCCCTCAACCTCCGTGTGTTGTTTTCTGCAGTTATCGAACGGAACTGTCTTATGTCCGAACGACCGAGGATCATTTATTCTGACCCTTGCTTTGTCCGAGCATACCTGTTGTTCGGCGCAGGTTCCGTACTGAAAAAATGCTTCATATTTCTCATACGCAGCCCATTTGATGTCTGATTTTATTTAAATTGTGCAATAAATCGACTACTGAGCACTGTTCTCCTAAAAATGACTGCTTTGCATAGCCCACATTGTAGCACACGCCCCCATTTGCCCCACTACAAGACAAAATACACCCTAAATTACTCACTCCAGTAGTCGAGACACCACGCGCTTTAAACAGTTTCAGGCGAGGTTTGGTTCTGCAGCCCAACTTGACGGATACCATACGGTTAGCTTACTGAAACAATTTTAATTAACATACAGCAGGTGGGCTAAATCATGAAATATCAACTGAAATTTCGAAATGCGTTTTCGTTATGAAAGATTAATTAAGTGGAGTCGTAAAATTGATCGTCACGCAGCGTAATTCTATAATAATTCAGTTACCTCAGGATGCCAGTTTTGGGCGAACTTCCTTCCGGCTGCATACAAAAAAATATAGTCTGCAAAAAATGACTACCTAATTAGCACGCCCTCTCCTCATTGATTTTCAGTGTCTTTAAATTTACAGTAATATTTCATGAACAAAATGTATAAAATATTCATGTCTTCTCTACTTCGGTTGAAAATTACGCTTTCTTCCAATTTTGTTCTCGAAAGAAGGGTTTTATTCGGTTTTCAAAAACGGTTCCAATTTCCGGATAATTTTTAACCCCTTCTGCCGTCACGCTTACATTCAGGGTTTCCAACCTACAAGCCATGTATTTTCCATGGTATTAAGAGGAGATCATAATGGGTTCATAAAATTTAGCAGTGGATTTGATTCATATTGTTAACTATACAAGCCACATAGGCAAATGCAGAGACATAACGCTTTATGAACGGCCATTTCACGGCATTAAAAAGTCTCACAGTTAGCAACTTTTTACAAACCGAACTATGCCCTTCCGTCGAGCATAAAATTAGAAGACGTTATTTTCTACTGAATGAGCGGATGAATGAATATTTTTAAGCATGTTTACCATGAAAAATAATTGGACTTGTAAAAAAAATCATGCTACATAAGTAGTCATTTTTTTACAAAGTATGGTTTTTGTATGCAGCCGGATGGAAGTTCTTCCGAAAGCTGGCATGCTGAGGTAAATAAATTGTTATTGAATTAAACTGCAGGCTGATTATTTTTACAATCCTACTTAATTAATCTTTTCGAAAAGAAAACGCACTTCGGAATTTCAGTTGACAGTTCACTTGTTAGCCCACCTTCTGTACCTACCTTGGTCACTCTCTGCACTAGGAAGGGGAAGAGGACGCAAGCAGAGCTCGAAGCATGCGCAGGAAAGAGAATGAATGTGGCGTGCACACAGCGCCTCCCCGACACAGCCACCCGCTGGGCTCAAAGGATACAGGGGCTCAATCACAACAGGAAGGCCGCGTGGTAATTCGCAATGCATTGCCACCGTAAAGGAACGGACGGAGTTCCAAACCGTCGGAACAATTCCATTAGTAAGTCTTCTTGGACACTCGGTGGATTAGGATAATAGAGCAGGCGCAATCAGGGCTCGAACTACGCGGGGGACCCGGGGACACCCTCGCCAAAACCCCTATTACCAACTGTCCCGTATAAGAGGTGACTGAAATTTGTTTCCTTCAGGTGAGGTTGCATAACCACATCCAATTGTTGATTACAATAGTCTGAAATAGCGATGAACCGTTAACTATTTTTTTAACGTACACCACCACCTGAAAAAAGCTGTATAATCTCAAAGTACTCAGACTTCGGCATGTCGTTGGTCGCGGACAAAACTTACGCACTGCATCTAACACGTCCGGGTTGAGTAGTACGATAATGGATTTATAAAAGCATTTCTGCAGGCGCTTTAGACTGGCTGCTTTTTCCCCTGGAACCTAAACTTCCGTTATTTAGTTGCCTGACTTACTGATAGAAGCGAACAGGCGAGTCCCAGGTAGCAGTTCAGAAGATGAAGATGCGATCACTGGGACAATGACTTTATTTGCCTGACGTTTCGGATTCTCACTCGAATCCATCATCAGAGACATTAGCAGATAGAGGTGAAGGTGACACCAGGAGTGCAGTATTTATAGCACGTGGCTGCCGTGGGACCGTATTCGCATTGCAATTAACAGTTCTCGCAATCGCCGCTGGGGTCGTAATTGATGCGGCGGTGGCTTGGTGGTCCGAGTCCGAGTCGTTAATTGCCGCGATTTCGTCATCCGTGCTGGATGCTGGTGTGACGATTGCTCGGCAAACTGGCTCACTGTCACCGTGATGATTGCTCGCCCGCGCCCTCCCCACGTGACTGATTCTCCTGCCCAGGGAAAATCGTAATACGGAATAGGGTACCGGGAGGTCGTTGATGGATTGCGGGCCTGAGAACCATGACTCGAGCAGCTCGCGGCTCACGCGGTTGTCACCCCTTGCGAGGATTTCGGTCTCTTGAAATTTGAAAATATGGCCGGGTCCCGTCGAGTGTGCCGCCACCTGAGAGTTAGCGTCTCCCCGCCTCACTGCTGCTGCGTGCTCGGCAAGTCGCGTACGGAGTAATCTCCCAGTTTCTCCGACATAATCGCTTTGTCCGCAACTACACCAGATCCGGTAAACGACTCTAGACGTTTCCTGCCGTGGCAGCGGGTCTTTTGGCCTCATTACTTGGCGCCTAATGGTTGCTTCCGGCCTGTGTGCAACCCCAACTCCAAGTGGAGTGAGAAGACGACTGACGGCTTCCGAGACGTTCTTCACATACGGAAGAGCCCGCCAAAATTTGGGGCTGGTTGGATTTGGTCTCTGGTGTCCTTTTCGTATGTACTGGTTGACAAAGTTGCGCGGGTAACCATTGGCTCTCATTACCCGTCGAAGATATTGTAATTCAGCAACCTTGTCTTCCATTTCACTGCAGTGCGTCTCAACGCGCCGGTATAGCGCCCTTACACAACTGCGTTTGTGACTGATCGGGTGGTTGCTATTAAAGTTCAGTATTTGCGTCGTATTTGTCGCTTTCCTGAACACTTTGGTTTTTAGGCCACCACAATGTTTGCGGCAGACGAGGACATCCAGGAAGGCAAGCTGATTGTTTTCCTCCTCCTCCATCGTAAATTGAATGTCCGGGAAGACGGCGTTGAGTTGTTCTTTGAAAGTCAGCACCTGATCCCGTTCGATGACGACGAAAGTGTCATCCACATACCGAGCCCAGAATTTCGGTCTGTGGTGTCGGAAAACCAGCGACTCCAGCCGTTGTAGGACCGCCTCGGCGATGAGTCCCGAAATCGGTGAACCCATTGGCGTTCCCTTCACCTGCTCGTAGATTGTTCCGTCGAATATAAAGTACGTCAGGAGCTCGATGATTTGGGCGTGTCCGTGTTACACACACACCTGAATATACGGCAAACATTCGCATTATGGCAGTTTATTACAATACAAAATCGCTTTTAAATAGGATAAGCCTGCACAACATGCGACAGGAACAGTTCGCAGGCATCTGTCAAAGACATGGCATTGAGGCCAAACCAAAGACGATACTATACTTCGTCTATGTGAGCCCGCACAACTCCACCACATTCAGGGCCTTCCTCGTGGAGTTTTCATTTCAGTCTACTCCAGTATGCCTCAATGGCATTGGTGTGCCGTCCAGTGGTAGGGTCCTTGAAGTTTTTTGAGGGGTTAACAGAGAAATGTAAATAACCTTTTGAGGGAAGACGATTATATGCCTTCCACTCGTCCGTTACTGCTATACTGCTTTGGCGACCCATTTTATAATAACGGAATGTAGAACGGGTTAACTTCGATCAGTAACCTGTTCAAATAAGCCTTTCCGTCGGCCAGTATCGTACATCCCGACCAGCCACCACCCATAAAACCCCTATTGCCACCTGTCCCGTAAGACAGGCTGCTTTGCTAAACGGACTTTTTGGGTGCCACCTCCCTATTGTTACCGGCTAACATAGTGTTATCACTCAGGTGGGACTGCAGAAACAACCTCGCCCAAGTTCACGGTACATGAGAAGTTGGAACATGTTACTTACGAGACGTTTATTTTTAACTTGCGATGAGTGAACAGACAACCACCTGCTTCACAAAATCGCACAAGTTTAAGTGCGAATTTTTGCAGCTCCAACAACATGGCAAAGCGCTTCCACTGAGCCCTTTGACGACCAGATCCAGGAGGTCAAGTCATTGCTGACGTCAACAGGACCTTCGGGTGCAGAGAGTGCCTCAACCGTATTTCGGAATTCTTTAGTGCTACCTACAAATTTTAAAGAAATTTAATAATGTTGGATTGAAAATCGGAAAGCAAAAGGACAGGTCAGTAGGCCGGCTCTTATTCCGATGTACATAGAACCACGAGCGTGTGTCGCATTACCTGCAACCAGGAGCAGATACGGATATTTCGATGTTTCTATCTTCGTATTAAAGGGTCGAAAAAGGTGCTGAATCGAACCAAATCAATAGATTTTAATATGCATCAATCTGGAACAAAGGCGTATGCATTACCAAGAACAAAGACAGCGTCCGCGGATGTGAGAATGGCGGGCGACGAGCGAGGATGTTTCATCCTAGCGAGCTCTGTCCATTGGCCGAGCGGACATATGGCATCTGGTGGTGAGAACATCTCTACAATGTTGACAGCTTTTCCATTCTTCTGTCCACCGGCGGCAATGATTCTTCCTCTGAAGGGCGCCGCTGCCAGAAATGCACGCGCATTTCGCATGGGTGCAGCCGGTAGCCAAAAGTCATCGGTGCCGACTGAACTCGCCTCCACATGCCGCCAGTCTGCTCGCAGATGACAGAACTCCACAGAAGCGCGTAGGAAGGGATTATTCATACCGCCGAAAACGAAGACGCGATTGTCGCCAGGCAGGCAGGCAGCAGCTGGGGCGTTCCTCTTCTCCCGCAGATCAGGTAATTTATGCCATCTGTTGGGGAAGTATGAGGAAGACCAGATACAGGAGAGAGGGACATGAACGGTGAATAACAGATGTAAATGCTTACGAACGTCACGGGTGGGCTCACCTATCCTGATTGACGTCATAAATTTCGCACGACGAAAGGGATGTCCAGGTGTCGCCTTCCTTGTGGGACCCACCAAAAACGCCAATTAATGCTTCCTCTCCACCCTCCCTGTCCGCGGTTTTAATCTTCACGACTGCGGCGGCGTGATCTCGGCGTCGGATGGCAAGGGGCACCCGCTTGAGCCAGCGCCCTTCCTTCACCAGGAACTCGTCAACGCAGTTGGAGCCAATCTGCTCTGTAGTCTGCCCTCCAACCACGAAAATGCTTTCATCCTTGGTGACGGGAAGGAAAAATAAAAATGTGGACGGGATGTGGTCGAAAAGCTTTAGGGATGTCGGATTCACTAAACAAAGCTGGTGTGAGACAAGCGATATATATATATCTCACTTCCTTACAGCCCCGCTCTCATCATGCCTCCCCTGCCCAGCTTGTTCCACTACTACTTCTACTACTACTACTACTATTACTTCTACGACCACCACCACAACCACCATCATTATCATCATAGTCATCATAAATAAACATTGTTATCGGTAAGCACACGTACACGCATTTTAGCCCTGTGTATATTTTTCTGCTCTGTACGGTACATTACTGTATTCTCTATTATCTGAGCATTGTATGTGCAGCCATACCCAACCCCGAATTGTGGAACACCCGAGGCTCGAACTCGCGACCTGTTAGTTAGAAGTCCACGCCTCTAACCACTGGGCCACGGGCCCGTTGCCTTGTCGGTTTTCGGTGAGCGCCTCCTACCATTGTATATTCCCGATCGAAAACTGACAAGGCAACGAGCTCGTGGCCCAGTGTTTAGAGGCGTTGACTTCTAACAAACAGGTCGCGAGTTCGAGCCTCGGGTGTGCCACACTTCGGGGTTGGATACGACTGGCTGACGACGGCTAATAAGCCAGAAATGGCCATTCCCATCTCCCTTGTCTTTGTCGGTAATACCATTCTGCCTATATATCATGCGCCGCTGTGCGGCTGCTTGTTGGGCTCTAGAGAGAGCCCGTAAGGCACAACGGAGTGAATGAGTTCCGTAAGAACAATCGGTGAGCGCCTCCTAACATCATAACATTCAGTGTCGGACAGAAGACGCTCTAACGAGAGTCCAGCCTCCCAGAGACGACTCCGACGGGCAGAGAATGATAGTTCGACCGTCGCATCCAACGATGTTTTCCGTGTGCTCCACAGTAGAATGAAAACAGGCACGGTAGTTTGTGTGTGTGAATTAGTTTAAAGTGAATGTTGACTTGCGCATTCTTGTGGCAGCTCTTAGTCATACTTTGTTTATAGGCAACTTTTTATAGTTATTTAATTTGTTAAGAATTTCGTACACTCGCATTTATTCGCTCTTGTAAAATTCACGGTGGTGGTGGTGGTGGTGGTGGTGGTGGTGGTGGTGGTGGTGGTGGTGGTGGTGGTGGTAGCTGTATTTGGCGCGGTGAACGACGAGTTGATGGTGACACGACATTATGATAGTGCGCGGTGGGTCGATAATACGGTTAATTCCGCTGTCGTAGGTACCGATGTGACCGAGTAGGCTTATGCGGTGAATAAATGTGCGTAGGCAGAGTGGACAGTTGAGGCGAGAGCAAATGGATCAGAGTAGGCCTGGGTCAGTGAAATTGGATTAGTGAACGACGGTCTTAGGTAGGTGCGGTGTGTCAGTGAACCCGTCAGCTCCAATACGGCATTATGGGACGAACCACGAATAACGGACCTGTCTCAGAGGCATTCGCAGTGGCCAACGGAGTGGAGCAGGGATGCGTCCTGGCGCCTGTTCTCTGCCATGCTGATGGACGCCTACCGTGTCGAACGCTCCGGGATTCGCATCGCCCACATGACGGACGGCCACCTCCACAATTAACGGTGGAGGCACTTCCAATCGCGCGTATCCACCAGCACCGTTCAAGGACTTCTCTTCACTGACGACTGCACCATCAACACCACTTCGGAAGAGGACATGCAACGCAGCATGGTCCTTTTCTCTGCCGCCTGCGAGACCTTCAGCCTGGTTATCAACACGGAGAAGACGGTTGTCATGCACCAAACACCTCCCAACACAGGCCCTGCACACAATGCGCCTCAGATCAGCGTGAACAGAACCCAACTGTATGTGGTGGACAACTTCCCGTATCTGGGCAGTACCCTGTACCGCAGCACGAAAATCGACGACGAAGTAGCCCCCCGGATTTCGAAGTCCAGTCAAGCCTTCGGCCGCCTTCAAAGCACAGTTTGGAATCGTCACGGTCTTTGGCTGAACACGAAAATACAATTCTACAAGACCGTCATCCTGCAGACGCTGCTGTACGGTGCAGAGGTTTGGACGATATACACTAAGCAGGTACGCCGACTCAACCACCTCCACCTCAGTTGTCCTTGCGGCAAACTGAATCTCAGGTGGCAGGACCGAATCTCAAACTCTAAAGTACTGCAACGGACGGGAATCCTCAGCATCTACGCCATGCTGAGACAACTGCAACTGCGTTGGAACGGCCACCTAATGTGCATGAACGACAAGCGGCTACCCAAACGACTCTTCTACGGAGACGTCGCCACGGGTTCCCGCCACCAAGGAGGCAAAATTCGTCGATACAAGGATACCCTGAAGTCCTCCATGAAGCGTCTGCAAATCAATGCGGCCAACTGGGAAGACCTCGCCCGAGACCGACCGACCTGAAGGAGGACAGTGAAGACAGGCGCTGCGATCTAAAAAGCCAACCGCATTGCCACCGCGAAAGTCAAACGCGAAGCATGCAAGTCTCAGTTGCGCCCGCCGCGCATTGTCAACGCACAACCGCCTCCAACGTGTCAACGGTGTCAACGGATATTCCGGGCGCCCATTGGACTTGTTGAACGCCTTCGGATCAAATGCACAACTCCGACCGCACCAAACCGTCGTCTCTTTCTTAACCTATTCATCTGTCCGTCAACGTTTTCCGACCGTCTTCCTGAACCAACACTTCAATCCTGCTCCTTCATCTTCTCCTCCTCCTCCTACACCTCCATATCCTCCACTGCTGCTTAAAAGCCTGCCGTTTTGGCATCTGCCACGCACATCGACGCTGCACTCAATCCTGAAACAGCAGCACACACCAACACCACCCCCGTCGACACTAGAGATGAGGATCTGGACTGCACTTGCCCTCACTGCGACCGCACCTTCACCTCATGCGTCGGTCTGGTCGGTCACTTGGGAATCCATCGCATAAGGCCTGGCAACCAGTACCTGGAGCACCAGCCCACACCCACCGCACTTTTCTCCACTGTCCACACTGCCCTCGCACTTTCACGCACCGCATGGGCCTATTCGGCCACGCGCGCATTCACGATATCCTGCCGTAGACAGCCGCCAGCTGCATCACAGCATCACATCCTCCCACACCACCCTCTCACCGTACATCAGCATCACCCACCGCAAGCACCCACCTGCCACCTCTCACGCAAGTGGGAAGTGTGCGACTCGACTCGGTCTCCGTGTGGCTCCTGTTGCACGGGTAACCCGAACCGGAGGCCGTCCCGACAGGTCAAGCGTCGCGGATTGGAAGGCTGCTGACTGACGGCTCAACTCGGTCCACGCAGTCCGTCCAGCTGTGTGTGTGTTGTAGGGAGTGGCAAACTGGTGAGCTGGGGGCCGGGCCGAAACAGCTCCTTCCACGACACTCCCATGCCTGTAATAGATACGCCACTCCACTCTCGTTATATAAAATCCTGGTGCTTGTGTATGCGGCGCAGGTCGTGTATGTGGCGCGTGCAGACAAGGTCAATAGACAACTAGAGCCACCAAGCCTATTGCCCGCTGCAGTAAACTGGCCAGCTCGGACAGTGGCTTAGGCACGGGAATGGGACGGGAGAGTGAGATCGACGACTCAGCGCACTTTCCTCTGTACAAACATTCTGATACGCTTGAAGCTACCACGATGCGCTAAAAGCCGTGACTTGGAAGGTTGCCAACTGACGGGATAACTTGGGCCTCGATTGGAGGTCTGAGAGTCAGGCTACAATGGCTCCAGACTCGCATTTATTCACTTTTGTTTACGTTGGTGTTTGTATAACGTTTACGCGGAGACTCGAACTGGTGTGAGTTTCGACTGAACTAAATGACTTTTCACCCACTGCCTTCGATCTTCTCTCAACCGCATTGATGATGAAGTCCGTTCTAACGCGGTCTGTTCGCTTGGATTTTCTCGACTTGGTTTAAAAATTCGGTCACTTTATCAATTGACTAGGCCCGGGGTGGTCAGAGGCGAATGCCACGGGGGCTACACTCCACTCCCACCAATCTCAGAACAAACGCTTGACCATTACTTTGACCTACAACACCAATAACAGGAAACAGCCATGCACACGACCTGTTTACCCAGCGGAAGCGCAAGCCAGAGAACCAGGCACCGGAGAACTGCCGGCGCACACCAGCCCGCGAGGGCCATGGTTTGCTGATCATGACATATCACACACTGACAGGCCTTGGAAGGGGGCAGAGTAGCGGACAGTAGACGTACATATGCCTATTTGCGATATTAATGTGTACCTATTTTATAGTCAAGCACTGTATATGTTGACTCTTACGAATACACTTTTAAAGGTTAATGTAAATGACAACATCAATTTTTAAATAAAGTGTTGTAAGGGAATAGTTAGCGTTCGAAGAATGAAGATATGTATTTATAGGCCTTTGTTATCCGTCCGTCCAGAATTCGAACAAGGCCGAGGTGTGAGGGGACAGGTAGGTCAGGAGTGAGGTAGACGACTCATCGCACTTTCCTCCTCACTATAAACAGTCTGACGCGCTTGAAGTTATCACGGTGCGCTAAAAGCCGTGCCTTGGAAGGTTGCCAACTGACTGACTAACTTGGACCTCGAGTGGAGGTCTGCGAGTCAGGCTGCAATGACTCCTTCTTAATGTGGCCTTTATGGCATTCCCAATGGGTGGAATCCGAGCCGGGCGTTGGCGGCACGCCAAGGCGCGGCTTAGGCCGTGCCAGCCTCCACTCTTTCTGCTGTTGCTGGTCAAAAAACTTGGTTATTTGAGGTGTGAACCAGGGGCGGGGGGTGGAGTGGAACGCCGAGCTGCGGGCAGGACCGTGCCATCCACCTGCGCTCTCCCCCGTCTCCGGTCTTCTTGACTCTGCCTTGACAGGTGGGGGAGGAGGAGCGTGTGGCAGATGCAGCGCAAGTCCACTACGCAAGTCACCGTCCCTGCTCCCATCCTGTTGTGGGACACACGGTAGGCATCGCCAGAGGCGACGGTCGAAGTGCTGTGTCTGTGAACTCTGAACGCAGAGTCCCAGAAAACTCTGAAGTCGGTAATGCCAGCTGTTGTTTGAAAACAATGGACACAACAAAACGGATTTAGGCTACAAAATATCTCCACTAGGGCCGATTCTCTTTAGCTTTGTCCAACGTGTGAGTCGGTTTCTCACAGCCGATCCTTTAGGTCATGGCCTTTTTTGAAGTCGGCTTACCCAAGCCAACATTCTACTTGCGAGCAGTATTCTCGCTCCCAAGACAAATGACGAGTGACTTCTTTCGTATTCCATTCGTTTAGTGTCTCTGTTTGTTCGTTGCCCACACATGCATCGACGCAGTGACATTCTCACTTGCGAACACCAACTGGCCATCGGTTGGCGCCAGGCGCTGTCCTCATCTTTGCGAAGTCACTAGAAAGTTGCCAACGCTTCATTTGGGACGATGTTGAGGTGGCTATCATGTGAAAACACAAAACAACCGCGTGAAAATCTCAAGACTCAGTAAGCCAGCAAAAGCGGTACCAAACGTCCAATCATGTTGAGGCAATACAATGAATGTCAGCGTGCACGAATTATTGATTACCGTGCTCATCCCTAGGCACTGACCGACCAGCTATATTCGGTAGTGTGGAGTCCCACAAATCAGTTATCACCCTCCAACTCCCGCAACTCGGACTAGACATGTATACGTCCCAGTCTGTCAGCTGTGCTATCACTGTGTCAGCCACTCTCACGAAACAGATTCCTGTACCAATGTGAAGTATTGACTGAAGTATTTATATGCATCAACTGTTGCTGGGGGAGTTACTACATGCACTGCGTTCTGTTCCTACAGATGCAACACAGAGTCAGTAGTTTCCGAAATCTGTAGAATCCATGTTACAAGTTGACAGTTTGGTCTGATATCCCTGACCGACACATACCCTCTGGCAAGACTGATTGCGCACAGATATTTTACCACGACGTACACATTTCACCATAATATAAATTGCATACAGAATAGACATTGTGATCCGGATATCAACACTAAGATTCAATCAGTTATGAGATATTAAGCGTACTGGCACGAGTAGTTGTAATTCGGGAAAGCAGAAATTTTTGAAATTTCTCAAAAAATCCTAGAGGAGGTTATTCGCTGAAAAATACATCAGATAACAGGTAAGCAGTGCGAAGCTGAGCAAACTGAATTACCAGAATTGTCTACTATGTTCTCAGTAGCATGCCAATTTAGGTGACAGTATGTCAGTCAACTCACCCCCACGACACTGTACGTGGCGCCATAGCGCATTTCCATGTCGGCAACTCGTTCTTCATTTTGCAGGTGTGAGTCAAAACGGAGGACAGACCACTTGTCGCCACTTCGATCCTTTCCAAAGAGAAAGAATGCCAGAGATGGTCTCCTGTGTTCAGTAAAGGGACATGGAAGCTCGTCCTTGTCTGCAGCGCCTATCCACTGCTCAACTGAAAGTATAAGTCGACTTCCATTAATAAAATAACAAACTCGAACCGCATATACTCACGCACATCCGGGATTATCCGTGAACATTGGATAACGCTCCAGTAGGCGTTTGCGGAAGTGCACAGTCGTCCGGTCCCACTGAACTTCCTTCAACATTGCCGGAGCGTGAAACTTCAACTTCTCATCATTAATCTCTCCGCTAGGGCATATCCAACGCGAAATGGCTGCCAGAATTTGTTCTTCAGAATTAACTGACAGACTGTCGCTTTGAAGCAGACTGAGCACAGTATCCGCTGGCAAGCGAACAAATAGGTCACTATAAATGAAACTCTCAAAGCCCTCCCTCATTCGTTGGACGCAGGCTTCCGTCAGTACTCCCACATTCAAAGACCTGGAAATGTCCCATGTGGCTGCCAGATTCTCCAAATTGACACTAGGGACGAAGAGGTAAACAGGACGAATTCGGAATATATACTTGTTGAGCATAAATTGCACTGCCCAAGTCTCAAGCACAGGAAGCTTGACCATCCTTGCAAACATAACTATGCCCTCCACATTTGCTTGCGTAATCTCCACCTGACCGGTATACGCATAGTTAATGAGTGTAGTCGCTAGGCTAAAAAATGCATAAGTAACAAGGAAAGCCGATAACACGCGGAATATTTACCTCACAGGCACTGTCGGCCATCTTAGAACCGAATTTCCCTCCCTGAGAGGACCACTGAGGGTCGCTCGAAATGAAGGGATGCGAGCTGCTAGTATTATCCTGTGTGCGTGAAGCGCGACTCCGTCCTTCACCTACACCACAAATGTCTGTGTAAAGAGGGATAAGAGCAGGGTCAGCTACCTCAATGGTGAGATCTTTAATTTCCCCGGTGAGGCGAATTTCGTTGATGGCAGGACAAGTGCGAACCAGGGGAAATTCATCTTCGAATAATTGTGCTTGTGGGAGAGGCATTTCAACTACTTGATTGTCATGAGTGCCATGAACGCCGCCCTTTATTGTGCCATCGCAGTTGACTCGCGCAGGCACCCACCCATCCGCGCACGCATGCGCTAATGACCTGCAGATTCTGATTGGCTGGAATATCGTGCGGATTCGATCGAGTGTCAGTCTGCACATGCACGAAGTGAATGGTAAATAAGAAAGTGTAAGTTTTACACTAGTCAAGGGAGTGTGGTACTTCTGTTAAGACACACTTGAGTGGCCTGGAAGGCGTTGGTGACGTATTGTTGGTGCGGAATAGTCTGACGTGTGCGCCGTCGGCAGCAAAACAGGGAACGGCAGCGTTGGTAATAGGTCCGGTTTCGATGTGTGCTAATAAAGGTAGTTAGATGAACGCTGTACGGTTAACAAGGCGGACAGTGAAGACAAACCTTGTTTGCCTGACAGAAGTAAATACAACTAGATCTGTATCATTGATAGCTTTCTGGAAGAACACATGTAGAGTAACAGTTGGCTTTGAGTTAGATGCCATAGAGAGCAGAGTTAAGGTTAAAGATAGAGTTGATGTTGAATTTAGGGTTCGAGTTAGGTTTAAGACTTGGGTGGGGGTTAGGACACGGTAATAGCCACATTTCCCGGTACTCAGCTTATTAGCTTATTATTAGTTGACATAGAAATGAGGGAGACTGGAAGGCAAATTGTGTTTGGTGGCGGAGGCAAGGATGCCAGACTAACTAAATGGCTGTAAATCTGAAACGGGATGGAGGTTAATGTAATTCAGCCGATTAAATAATCGCTCCGTAGTTGGTGCCCGGTGTGCCAAACAAAGAGCTATTTGCAGTTAAAATTTGACCTATGAGGTTTGTAGAAGACTTAGGTTGAAAAAACTTAGCGAATATAAAGGAGGGCAACGGACAACTAAATAGAAGCGAGAGAGCGAGGAAATCGCCTTATTTTGAGACTAAAATTTCAACATTTTTAGCAAAATGGATTTTATCCACTGTCGACGGAAAAAAATTAATAAATTACTCAAGGGTTAAGACGTTTTACTCAAAAATAACGACTATTTTGGGGAAAGTTCGAGTATTAACTTCTGCATTTCTGTCTCTTTACACGTTAGATAGCGCGCCAGGAATGGTAGTGCGAATGTTGTTATGCTGATGTACGACAAGAGATAAGTCGAAAACCACGGCGCATGGGCCGGGAATACTTCACAGAGATCACTTCAGAATACAGGGGATGGGCAACGCTATCCAGAATTCAACCCTTTTGAAGTGCCGTTGAAGGACAATATCGACTTTCCTACACTGATAGGGAATATGGGTTAATGAGGAATTGTTGAGGTATGCTGAATGTCCATTTTTGTAGCAAACAGAACTGTCATCACGGAAGCAATCATAGAAGAGAGGAGGAACGGATGGTAGAGGGTGCTCACCAATCGTTTCTACGGAACGCATTCGTTCCATTATGCCTTAGAACTCTCTCTTAAGTCCAAACAGCAGCCGCACAGTGGCGCATGATAAAGACAAACTGGCATTACTGACAAAGACAAGCGAGACTGGAATGGCTAATTCTGGCTTATTAGCCGTCGTCTCAGCCAGTCATACCCAAATACGAAGTGCGGAATATCTGGGGCTCTATCCTGCGACCTGTTGGTTAGAAGTTCAACGCCTCCAACCACCGAGCCACGAGCTCGTTTTCTTGTCGTTTGCGATCGGAATATATAATGGTAGAGGGGCACTCACTGATCGTTTATTTTTAAGGGGGAACAGATGCATCACTGAGTCGCCGAAGCTAATGCCATGTTAGTGGAGATCGTTAAAGAGGGAGTGAAACGAATACTTGAGAAAGGAGTACACTTTATTGTGTAGATATCATCTATAATTCTCAACAAAAAGAGCTCCATCCACTATGGACAGAAGATAAATTACACAAAGGTCAGAAGGTTTACATAGAATGAGCATCTACTACAAGGACAGTTCGGGTCTTCGCTTCTACACCTCTGTCTCTTTGAACGCAAGATTGGCTGCCAGAGATGGCAAAACAGAACGCTGATATGCCGATGCACGACAAGAAATAATTCGAAAGCTACGGCGCATGGGCCGGGAAGACTTCGCGGTGAGTAGTTCGGAATGCGGGGGAGGAGCGACGTCATCCAGAATTTGACCAACAAATTGCTTGACCGTTTTAAAATGCCGCTGTAAGATAACACTAGCAGCAGAAGCGAGCATTGATGAGGGGGGGGACTGGTTTTAAACTAACATATATTTTTTTAAAACGGGAAAAATAACAAGAGGACAATAAAGAGTGCGAGGCAGGCTGTCTCCTGCCGTTTCTTCGCGTTTAAACGCTATGGCTGAGAAGATGGTATTTACTTTCTGATGCAGCCGTTTGACTTTGCAGTTCTTTATGGCGACAAAGGCTCGCTCAGTGAATCGCCTGACCGTTTTGAAATAATATCGACTAAAAAGAGATAAGAAGCCTTGGCAGCAGAAGAGAGCACTTGGAGGACTTATTTTAAAACTGCCAAACCTTTTTTGAGCTCGTCAGGAAAAAGGACAAGAGAACAATAAAGAATAAGAGGAGGAATGTCAGCATCCATGAATCGCCAGCTTAAGGGTTGGGGTGTGTGGTAGGAACGTAAACGACGAATGTTATAAAGACTTTTAGGAACTTTGGTGAAAAAGGAATCAATGTGGATAGAAAATGAAAGATTTGATAACAAATTAACGCCACAGTACCTGAAAGTTGTTACCTCGTTAGGAAGGATGTCAGAGGATTCAGAGCAAGGAGAGGACCGTAGTCGGAAAATTCACTGAACTGATTTTTGATTGTCCATCAGGGGACCATTTTCCTCCGACCATACTGAGACATTTTCAAGGCCATGCTTCAGATACTGGAGATCAGTCCTGTTTTTGAGAGAGTATCCAACAACCACGTGGTCAACCTCAGCTTGCCCTGGTAGACAGATACAGATACATGCAGATACATGACGTTTCATGAACGGCCATTTAATGGTATGAAAAAATCTTACAATTGGAAACTTTTTAAAGCCGAAGTATCCACTTCTTTTGAGAACGAAATTGGAAAAGATGTGATTGTCTACCAAATGAGTAAAAAAATGAATATTTTTATGCATGTCTTCTATGAAATATAACTGAACATTCAAGCGCATCGAAAATCAATGAGAAAATTGCATGCTACTGAAGTAGTCGTTTTTTGCAGAGCATAGATATTGCATGCAGCCGAAAATAAGTCCTTACGAAAGCCGACACCCTGAGGTAACTGGATCATGATTAGTTTTACAACCCTACTTACAGTAGATGTGCTAACTCATGAAATGTCAACCAAAATTTCGAAATGCGTTCTCGTTTCGAAAAGATAAATTAAGTAGTGTTGTAAAACTAATCATGATGCAGCATAAATCTATAATGATCCAATTACCTCAGGGGGTCGGCTTTCGAAAGAACTTATTTTCGGCTGCATGCAAGATTGATACTCTGCAAAAAATGACTACTTAAGTAGCATGCAATTTTCTCATTGAGTGTCGATGTCCTTGAAAATTCAATTATATTTCATGGAAAACATGCATAAAAATATTCATTCTTTTACTTATTCGGTAGAAAATCACGTCTTCTTCCAAGTTCATACTCAAAAGAAGAGTACATTTCGGTTTTAAAAAACCTTTATAATTCCCGAATAATTTTGAACTTGACCTGCTGTTACACTTGCATTCGGGGTTTCAAAACTACAAACTGTATATTTTCCGCGTACGGAAAACCATGCATTCCTCTACGGTGTTACGAGGAGACCATATGAGGTTCATAAAATTAAGCAGTGGATTTGAGCAATATTGTTAACTTTACAAGCCACATTCGTAAATGCTGATACATGCGGTTTCATAGACGGCCATTTAATGGTATTAAAAAATCTCACAATTAGAAACTTTTTAAAAACCGAATTATACTCTTCTTTTGAGTATGAAATTGGAAGAAGACGTGTTTTGCTACCGAATAAGTAAAAGAATGAATATTTGTATGCATGTTTTCCATAAAATATAATTGAATTTTCAAGGACATCGACACTCAATGAGAAAATTGCATGCTACTTAAGTAGTCATTTTTTGCAGAGTATCGATCTTGCATGCAGCCGGAAATAAGTTCTTTCGAAAGCCGACCCCCTGAGGTAATTGGATCATTATAGATTTATGCTGCATCATGATAAGTTTAACAACACTACTTAATTTATCTTTTCGAAACGAGAACGCATTTCGAAATTTTGGTTGACATTTCATGAGTTAGCACATCTACTGTAATTTATCTTTTCGAAACCAGAACGCATTTCGAAATTTTGGTTGACATTTCATGAGTTAGCACATCAGGTTTTTCTTCTCTAGAAACTTTCAGTTTTGTTCCCTCCTGATTTCCTCAGGATGTATGAATACTTGGGCCGATGTCCGTCAGCCACTGGGGGATGAGTGCGTAGTATTCATTAACTGTCGTATATATTGGGTTGCAGGATACCATGGCAACAGTTTATGGAGAATGCTGGGAGGACCCACTGATGAACCGAACCCCTCGCAGCTGCGCTATGCAGCGGCAAAACACTGGCGAAACACGCGTGCTTGGGCTTCTAGCTAGTACCTGTGCTCTTAGTATGGTATCCTGCAACCTAACAGTCATCTTTCGCATCCGGTGGGGAGCCGTCCCTCGCACACAGTGCGCTTAAATATCTCACGTTATTTCCACCCCGACAGGTGTGGGGAGCTGGTTTACTCAGGGTAGCATGCTCAACCCACTCTTATTGTGTCAGATCTGAAGTATTTCAGAATGGTAGGCCTTTTGTGTGATGTTGACGATCTTAAAGTTGCCTACCGATACACACCAGCAGATCGTGACGTAATGCTCAAATCCTTACAAAATGCCCTTTAAGGTTTTTGTCAAGTGGTGCGGCATGTAGTGCCTTCTGCTTTCACTCATCACAAAAGTGCACTTTTTTTCTCTCAATTTTCGTTATTATTATGCTTCTGAAGACAGTTTCCCCACTTAAAATTTACTCCGATGTCGGGCAGTACTGGCTAGGCAGAGACCTCAAAATATTAAAATCAAAGCGCAAACGAAAGGATGAGTTTATTTTAATTTTATTCGGCATCAGACACAAAATGACAACACCCAGGATGTTTCAAAATAAACCCACTGTATTCCATGCCAATCTAAAGGCTCATTTGTGTTTTTAAAGACGAATGCCAGCTTCAAATAAGCATTGACGGTCACCCTATACATACGACGAAGAAGGTTATCAAGTCAAAGTGACTTACTTGTGTAAATTATTTTCGCGGAATGGGTACCCTAAGGATTTTGTACGCAGATGCATGAGGCAGCAGGAATCAAGGGAGAAGGAACGGGACTGTTCCAATCAGACGCCTAAACTAAGCACTTGGCAAACTCTTCCTTACACTAAGAATGCGTCTAAACTCGTCAAAAGACACTTACGGAAGGACCTTATCAAGTGGCGCATAAACCTGCAACTACTTTACGCTCTCAGCAGGTATATCCTTAGGACAGGATTATCCAAGTAAACCAGAAAGAGGTCAGTTACAAGATCCCGTCTGATGCATGTGCTGCCATTTATTGTTGTCAGACTGCAAAATCTGCTTCAAAACGCATCCAAGAACACCAGTTCGCGGTAAAGGGACGAGACCATATGTCCCAAGTAGATATGCATACCCTGGACACAGGGCACACCTTCGCTTGAGATAAAGCTCGCATTGTCGCTGTCTGTCCCTTTACGAAAGGCCGATAATTCCTTGGGCAATGCACTTGGATGAATAATACATTAACCGGCATATCGAGTTTGATTTCTTCTACAGAAACCTCGAGGATAAATTGAAGAGAAGAGAGTCAATCAGATCAGACTTACACACACGGCGGCCGCCTGACAGCGCAAACGCCAAGCAAATATCGATTTCATGTGCACTCATAACGTTAACTGTTTCTTGTATTCAAATTTGCTCTACGTCTGCGTCTGACGTCGAACTGGGGAACCGGCGTCGAAAAGTCACGCAATGAAGCTTCTTGTCTCATATATCCTATCTCATTTCAATTTACATTACTTGGGATGTCATCTTCTACTTTACATATATATATATATATATATATATATGTATATATTGAAAAAAAGGCATCCCAAGAAATATAATTGGAAAGGTGAAGTTCTTTGGGAAACAGTAAAATTTTATTGTGAATTTTCGAGACTGGTTCCCCAGCTCGTCTTCAGACAACAGGTGTTCAAAAAAAATTAACCTTTAGACTGAGTCTAGCAAAAGGAGTCCGTGATTGGTTAAGGTTGTCATCTAGGGATTGGCTGACTCGGTTTGAATCTGTCCTTAAAGATTTTGTATGTGGCATCTAAATCGATATGCCGGTTGATGCATGCCTCATCTGAGTGCATTGCTTCCAGGAATTCGCGGCCTTTCCTTGTTTGGCAGGCGCCAACAATGCGAGTGTTTTCCCATGCGAATTTATGCCCAGTGTCTAGTGTGTGCATGGCCATCTGGGATAAATGGTCGCGTCTCTTCACCGCTAACTGATGCTCATGTATCCGGGTTGCGACAGATTTCCCAGTTTGGCCACAATAAACGGCATCACAACTAGAACACGGGATTTTGTAGACGACACCTTTTCTTTCAAGGTAGCCGACTCTGTCCTTAGGGCGCACAAGCTGTGTGCGTAAGGTAGTTGCCGGTTGGTGTGCTACGTGTATCTGGTACTTTTTCAATTGTCTTTCGACAAGTTCAGATACATTTTTTGACGTATGAGAGAGTTCGCCATGTGGTTGGTTTTGGTGCCTGAGTGGCCGTTGTATTGGAAATACCTTTTCCCTTGAGTTGCTGGTGCCTCATGCATTGACGTATAAAGTCGTGCGGGTACCCATTTTGGGAGAACAGTTTGTAGAGGTATTTCATTTCTGCTCGATAACTTGTTTCGTCAGAGCAGTGGGTTTTGGCTCGATTCAGAAGGCTGTTGACTGTGCTCCGTTTGTGAGAGACAGGGTGATTACTCTCAAAGTGTAGGATGACCTCTGAATACGCCTCTTTGCGATAAACTGATGTCTGGAGTGATCCATCGGTTTTTCGACGTACAAGGACATCCAGGAATGGGAGTTGTCCATCGACCTCTGTTTCCAATGTAAATCTAATTCCTGGAAATATGGAGTTAATATTGGTATGGAGCAGATTCAATTGATCTTTTTTGACGATTACAAAAGTGTCATCTACGTATCGCAGCCAAAGTTTTGGATTGACTGTGGGAAGAGCTATGCTCTCTAATTTCTGCAGTAATGCTTCTGCCAGGAAACAGGATATTGGTGAGCCCATGGGAGCACCTTTTAATTGCCGGTAGCATTGATTTGAGAAGGAAAAATTTTGTCTCCAGATAGAGATTATGGAGTTCAGGTAAGGCCTCTGGAGGCACCTCAGAAGTATATGTTTGGAGAAGTTCTTCGGTGCAGCTTTTTGCTAAATCTAGCGGAATCGAAGTGAAGAGCGAGACCACATCGAATGACATCATAATCTCGTCACATGTGATGTTGACACCGCTATATTTGTCTAGAAACTCTTTTGAATCCTGAATGGAGTTCTCGGAGTTCTTCGTTAGTGGATGTAGTTGGCGAAATAGCCATTTCGAGATCTTATATTTGGGTGCACCGATTAGGGAGACTATCGGTCGCAGTGGAATATCAGCTTTATGAATTTTGGGAAGACCATATATCGTGGCAATTGTTGGTTCATCCTGTTTTAAAGACTTGGCAAGAACTCCTGTGATTAATTTCCTGTTGTCTGAAGACGAGCTGGGGAACCAGTCTCGAAAATTCACAATAACATTTTACTGTTTCCCAAAGAACTTCACCTTTCTAAATATATATATATATATCAACATGAGTGAAGATTCGAGGTCCAGATAGATTATCACGTTCATCATCCCCAAAAGAAGACGAAGAAGAAAAAGAGGCGATGCCATGGACCACACTGTATTGGTGCTGACGTTTCGGAATCTTCCTCGATTCCATCATCAGAGTAGTGGTAGGGTGTTTGTTCCTGCTATATATATATATATACACTATGGTCCATGCCATCGCCCCTTTTTCTTCTTCGTCTTCTTCTGGGGATGATGAACGGGATAATTTACCAGGACCTCGAATCTTTACTCATGTTGATACATGTTATGGGCGCACAGCCCTCCGTTCTGCACGCGGATAGGAGACTTTTGCCAGACGAGAGTCTTCCACCTACGTACAGCTGAAGTTCCTGCACCGTTGCCTTGATGAGAACGTCTTGCCGAAATGCCTCCGATATAGCCTGCCAGTGATGACCGACCTCTGACAGCAAACAATGGCCGAATTTAAGAAGAAGATGATCAGAGTTTTGATTCAAGACTGCCACTCTCGCATCCGTAAGTACCGATGAGAGATAGAACAGCATTTCTCCACCTGCCAGTCGATATTTACTGAACACGAGATGGAAGTCCTGGAAGCGACAGTGCTCAATAGTGCGCATTGCCGCCGCAGGTTGCGCGACAGCCAATTGCTGAAGAAGTTCGAAAGAATAAGTCCACCAACGCGGCCCCTTTCTGATATTGTACTGGTTCACAACTCCTCTCGTCGTCTCACGCAGCAACAGCTGGCGGTTTTGTCCTATGTTACTAAATTCAACACGAGAGATGCTCGACCAGACCACTTCATCGCATCCTTCGAATCAGCGCTCCAGAAGTGTGAGGCAAACGAAGAGTGCAAAAATTCCATGCGACAACAAATGTCAACCCTTCTCCTCCGGCACAAACCTCAGAGGGCGATTTCCGAAACTGAAGACCAAGAACTTCTGAGAATTCGGAAGATGAAGGATATCGTCACCCTGCCCGCCGACAAGGGACGCTCGAATGTTGTCATGGATAAGGCCGATTACACGGCGAAACTGCAAAGTCTGTTGGAGGACGAAGGTGTCTATGAGCTTTCGGAGACGGGAGAGTTCAAGAAGCACGTGAATAGAGTAAACAGGGCAATAGACAAGTTGAGGAAGGCAGGAGCCTTAAAAAGAAATGAGGCATTGGCGGCAAAAGCCACAGATGCCGCCATGACGCGTTTCTACGGCCAGCCAAAAGTGCATAAGCCAGGAGTCCCATAGTCTCCCTACGCGGCACCCCGACATTTGGACTCTCGAAATGGCTTTACCAACGGTTTTGTTTCCTCACCGAGGGCTCGGAATGGATGGTGAAGTCGGCTGAAGAATTCCTAAAAAGCATCAGAAACCTGGAAATAGAACCAGATGAGATGATGGTATCGTTTGACGTGGTCTCATTATTCACGTCCATTCCAACCGGCCTCGCCATCAGCACAATTGACGAGCTTCTTCAGGAAAAGTATGATGACGTTGACCAACAACTTAAGCGAACGCACATCACTGAACTCCTGGAATTGTGCCTCAGGACTTTCTTCACTTTTGGCGACCGGGTTTACGAGCAGAAGAAGGGAACACCGATGGGAACCCCCCTGTCTGGGTTGATTGCTGAGGCCGTTTTGCAGAGACTAGAACGACTGGTCTTCCGTTTGTACTCCCCAAAATTTTGGGCCAGATATGTCGACGACACATTTGTCGTAATCAAGAGGAACGACGTTCAGAACTTCAAGGTCTTACTGAACTCAGTATTCCCCGACATCCAATTTACAATGGAAGAGGAGAACAACAACCAATTGCCCTTCCTCGACATGAATGTTGCAAGGACGGTTAGTGGGAGGATAAGAACTACGGTATACCGTAAGGCGACGAATACCAGACGCATCCTCCAATTCCGAAGTAACCACCCTATTGGTCACAAGCGAAGTTGTGTGAGAACTCTCTTACAACGAGTTCAAACACACTGTAGCGACGACGACGGGAAAAAGGAGGAGAAAAAATACCTACATTCTTTATTCGCAGCCAATGGTTACCCACGATCCTTCATACGTGAGTGCCGACGAAAGACTACCCGTCAGCGATCAGACGGTGAGAAGCCGAAGTTTTGGCTTGCGATCCCCTACGTGAATAATGTTTCCGAGGCGACAGCTAGAATCCTAAACCCTTTTGAGGTTGGGCTGGCCCATAAACCGGAATCCACCATCAGACAACAAATAATGAGACCCAAAGACCCGCTACCGGCAACGGAACAATCAGCAGTGGTCTACAGCATAAAGTGCCAAAATTGCAATGCACGGTTTGTTGGTGAAACGGGGAAACGAATCTGCACAAGACTACATGAGCACCAGCTTCCAGTCAACCGCGAGGACAAACTGTCACTGGTATATGGCCACATGCAACAGGCGAAACATAGTTTCGCCTTTGGGGAAGCAAGCGCGATCGGACGAGCCCATGACAAGATGGCTAGGCTGGTGCTCGAAAGCTGGTCTTCAGTTGGCACAATCAACAGGGCTATTGATCTTCATCCGGCCTACCAGGCGCTGCGTACAAGACTCCAGTCAGTCCAGACGGGGCCGAGAGTACTGACGAGCGAGTCGCGGCTCCTCCAACAGTTGTCACCTTCACAGCAGGGGGAAGGAGCTAGCCAGAGGTCACACGACCAACGCGAGACATCGCCCCATTGGCGCGCCCAGACAGTCGAGCGTGATTCGCGCATGCAACGGCAACTGATCAGTCCATCCGATTGTGAGGTGAGGGCCCATGGGCACACAGAATTTGCAGCGATTACGACAGCCGGTCAGGGGGCAGAGGTCACAGGAGCGCGCCATTGGTCGCCCGTGGAGGGACCAAAGCCAATCCCCAGCCAGAAGGCAGGTCAGAGTTCGCGCGTCAGGCATGCCTATAACGCCAGACAGGCGGCGAGGCAGAACAACTTCGAACAAGCAGGAACAGACACCCCACCACTCTGATTATGGAAACGAGGAAGTTTCCGAAACGTCAACACCAATGCACTATGGTCCATGCAATCGCCCCTTTTTCTTCTTCGTCTTCTGTTGGGGATGATGAACGGGATATATATATGCATATTTATATTCAATGGTAGGGGGGCGCTCACCGTTATACACAAACAGGTCGCGAGTTCGAGGCCCGGGTGTTCCACACTTCGGGCTTGGGTACGGCTGGCTGACGACGGCTAATAAGCCAGAAAGGGCCATTTCAGTCTCCCTTGTCTTTGTCGGTAAAAGCATTCTGCCTATATATATATATATATATCATGTGAATAATTTCAGAAATTACTTGGTGCAGGACATGGAGTTAATTCTCCGGGAGAGGACTGTTTAGGGCCAACACTGAAATTTACATATAAATATATACGCATATATATCGCGTTCATCATCTCTCGAAGAAGACGAAGAAGAAGATAGGGCGAATTCATGGACCATATTTTATTCGAGCGGACGTTTGGAGAACTTCCTCGTTTCCATCATCAGAGTAGCGCACGTGTTGCTTTTGCCGGCAGTTGTTTCGTCTCGCCGCCTGTTTCGCGTTATAGACATGCCCGATGCACGAACTCTGACCTGTCTTATGACTGGCGATTGGCTTTTTGTCTCTCTGTTGGCGACCATTGGCGCGCTCGTTTTTCCTCTGACCCCTGCCCGGCCGTCTTAGTCGCTGCACATTCTGTATGCCCATGGGCCCTCCCCTCATACTCGAATGGACTGATCAGCTGTCCTTGCATGTGCGAATCACGCTCGGGTGTTTGAGTGCGCCGGTGGGACGATGTCTCGCGTTGGTCTTGTGACCTCCGGCTGGCTCTTTTTCCCTGCTGTGAAGATGACAACTGTTGGAGGAGCCGCAACTCACTCGTCAGTGCTGTTGACCCCGTCTGGACTGACTGGAGTCTTGCACGTAGCGCTTGATACGCCGGATGAAGATTAATAGCCCCGTTGATTGTGCCAACTGAGGACCAACTTTCGAGCGCCAGTCTAGCCATCTTGATATTGGCTTGACTGAGGATGCTGGTAAACCTGGTTGCCGAGAGTGAAGAGAGTTCTGAGACACAGTTCCAGGAGTTCGGCGATGTGCGTTTGCTTAAGTTGTCGATCAACGTAACCGTACTTTTCCTGAGGAAGCTCCTCAACAGTGCTTATGGCGAGGCCGATTGGAATGGACGTGAATAAGGAGACCACATCAAACGATACCATCATCTCGTCTGGTTCTATTTTTAGATTTCTGATACTTCTCACGGACTCTTCAGCCAACTTCACCGTCAATTCGGAGCACTCGTTGAGGAAAAGAAACCGTTGGTAAAGTCATTTCGAGAGTCCAAAGGTCGGGGTGCCGGGTAGGGAGACTATGGGGCGTAGAGGCACTCCTTCTTTATATACCTTTGGCAAACCGTCGAAACAGGTTTGCGAGCACAAGGGAGCGCCGATGGGCTCCCGGCTATCTGGGATAATCGCCGAGGCTCTTCTACAGAGTCAGATATGTCGATGACACATTTCTCGTAGTCAAGATGAACGACGTTCTAGACTTTAGGGTCTTTCTGAACTAAATATTCCCCAACCTCCAATTTACAATGGAAGATGAAAACAACAACCAGTTGCCATCCTAAGAAGTAAAAATTGACGAAAAATGAGTTTTTTGGGATACTGAACAAACTTTATTTCGTAAATTTTCGAGGCTGGCTCCATAGGTCGTCTTCTGACTTGTAGAAAAAGTGGAAAACAGCTAAATTTGAACATGCTCTTAAAACCGACATCGCTTTGCCAGCGCTGAGAATGGGTCGATCATGTGGAATGACACCACCTTCTGAGTGGCAACCACCTTGCCATTTTTCTTTGAGATTTGTGCACATGGCATCCAGATCGATGCCACAATTGATTCATAAGTCATCATTAGTGAATGGCCTCTAGAAATTCTCGACCTTTCTTAAGGGGGCACGAACCGACAATACGCTCTTTATCTCAAGCAAATTGCTGACCATCGTCTAGAGTACGCATGACGACTTCGAATAAGTGGCACCGCCACTTTACCACATTGAGATCAGCCGCACACCGGGCACCAACTAGCGACCAATTATTTATTCGGCCAATTGTCTTTACATGAATCGCCCTAACTACATTAACCGCCACCCCGTTTCAGATTTACTGCCATTTAGTTATTATAGCATTCTAGTCCCCCACCCACCAGCCCATATCTGCCTTTCAGTCTTCCTCCCTTTCGTTTTAACTATTAATAATTTTATCCCTGTTTAACTCACACAGTAGTCTGATATCAGAAAACTGTATCTTCAAATATTTTAGAGTTGCGAAAATTCCCATAGCAGTAAGCAGAAGACGAGGTGGCGCGCATACGTAGCTTTCGATAAATTCTCGTCGGGCCAGTACAGTTATATGAGAACGGGGTAGAAGAAAAAACGTCAGCGATAAGAACAATCGACAAAAGTTCTACTTAAAACACGGGCCGGATGTGAGAATGTGGGGGGGGGGAGGCGGGAAGTATCAGTCATTGTCAGGGGCGGGGTGAGAGCGGAAGGGCGCGAAGTGTAGCCCCGTTAGTCGACCTTCGACCACTGTAGGCGCGGAGCCTGGACGTGGTTCTTCTGCGCGCATAAGATTGGCTTTCGTAGCCTTTTGGCGGCTGCTTCCTCTGTCGCTAACAGGCGCTGGCCTAGTAGCTTAGGGTAGCTCGATGGGACCTTATAAATCACACGAAAAGCTTCGTTGGGGTCCACACGATGTCCGGAATCGACAACATGCGCGAGAATGGCGCTGTCTATTCTCCTAGTTTTACTTTTTGCCAGCCCTGCGGGAAGGTGTTCGCGTATTCTCTTGGATAACCGCCAACTCCTGCGACCAATATAACCTGCTCCACAGGAGCAAGTGAAGGAATATATGCACATTGAGGTGGTCTGCGGTGGCAACTTATCCTTACCTTCTCCGCGTAAAATCGGGTTAGTGGAGAATGCTATTCGAACCCTTGCTGCTGGGAAGGTTCGCGAGACAGCTTGATCAAGGCTTCTCCTTAGGAGTTCACTCACGGCGTCCCCTTAGAAAGGGGCCTTGATGAACAAAGTCTTCTTTTCGGCCGTCGGTGTGACGGGCTTGATCGGTCGTTCAGCAATATTCTTTTCAATAAAATTTTCAGGATATCCCTTTTTCTCGAAGGAAGTCCTGGATTTTTCTGAGCTCCTCCTCGATGCCATCTGTTGAGCAAATTTTTCTAGCCCTTTGTGCCAAACATCGGACTAGACTTCGTTTTTGTTGGAGGGGTACGAAACTGGCGAAGTTCGTGTATTGTCCTGACCAGGTTTTCTTCCGATAGACGCTTCTTCGGACACTCTCGTCAGGTCTCCTGCTTAGAAGAACATCTAAGAAAGGGAGTAAACCGGCCGTTTCCATCTCCAGCGTGAATTTTACCGACGGATGTGCCTGATTTGCCGCATATAAGAGGGTTGTTTCATCGGTTTCTGTAGTGGAAGTGGCAAAGATCTCGTCAACATAGCGACCGTAATGTTTAAGCTTATCGTTCTGTTCGCCTAGTTGTATTCTCTCCAATTTTCCCATGAAGACATCGGCTAGGAGAGGTCTGAGGGGTGAGGCCATAGCAACGTCGTCTACTTGTCTAGAGAGTTGGTTGTCGAACAGGAACCGCACATTAAATGTGCATCTAATAATATTTTAGATTACCCTGACGGCTTTTGTTGGATGACACCACAAGTGAGGCTGTGCTGAATACCGGGAAGTGTACCTACCCCCGTGTACGTACCCAAACCCAAGTCTTAACCCTTACTCGAACCCTAAATTTAACCTCAACTCTATTTTTAAGCTGAACTCTCTTTTGCGAGACATTTGGCAGATGGCCAATTGTATAACGATAGGGGTTCCTATTCTTGTGCTTTTCCAGAAAGTTATCAATAAGACACATCTAGGTGCATCTGCTCCTGCCAGGCAAAAAATCTTTGTCTTCACTGTTCGCCTGTTTAACTGCACAGCGTTCATCTAACTACCTTTATTAGCACACATCGAAACCGGACCTATTACCAACGCTGCCGTTCCCTGTTTTGCTGCCGACGGCGCAAGCGTCAGACTATTCCGCACCAACAATACGTCACCAACGCCTTCCAGGCCACTCAAGTGTGTCTTAACAGAAGTACCACACTCCCTTGACTAGTGCAAAACTTACACTTTCTTATTTACCATTCACTTCGTGACTGTGCAAACTGCCACTCGATCGAATCCTCACGATATTCCAGCCAATCAGAATCTGCAGGTCATCAGCACATGCGTGCGCGGGTGGGTGGGTGCATGCGGGTGTCAACTGTGGTGGCACAATAAAGGGCAGCATTTATGGCACTTATGACAATCAAGTAGTTGAAATGCCTCTCCCACAAGCACAATTATTCGAAGATGAATTTCCCCTGGTTCGCACTTGTCCTGCCCTCAACGAAATTCGCCTCACTGAGGAAATTAAAGATCTAACCATTGAGGTAGCCGCCCCTGCTCTTATCCCTCGTTACACTGAAATTTGTGGTGTAGGTGAAGGACGGAGTCGCGCTTCACGCACACAGGATAATACTAGCAGCCCGCATCCCTTCATTTCGAGCGACCCTCAGTGGTCCTCTCAGGGAGGGAAATTCGGTTCTAAGATGGCCGACAGTGCCTGTGAGGTAAATATTCCGCGTGTTATCGGCTTTCATTGTTATTTATGCATTTTTTAGCCTAGCGACAACACTAATTAACTATGCGTATACCGGTCAGGTGGAGATTACGCAAACAAATGTGGAGGGCATAGTTATGTTTGCAAGGATGGTCAAGCTTCCTGTGCTTGAGACTTGGGCAGTGAAATTTATGCTCAACAAGTAGATATTCCCAATTCGTCCTGTTTACCTCTTCGTCCCTAGTGTCAATTTGGAGAATCTGGCAGCCACATGGGACATTGCCAGGTCTTTGAAGGTGGGAGTACTGACGGAAGCCTGCGTCCAACGAATGAGGGAGGGCTTTGAGAGTTTCATTTATAGTGACCTATTTGTTCGCTTGCCAGCGGATACAGTGCTCAGTCTGCTTCAAAGCGCCAGTCTGCCAGTTAATTCTGAAGAACAAATTCTGGCAGCCATTTCGCGTTGGATATGCCCTAGCGGAGAGATTGATGATGAGAAGTTGAAGTTACACGCTCCGGGAATGTTGAAAGAAGTCCAGTGGGACCGGACGACTGTGCACTTCCGCAAACGCCTATTGGAGCGTTATCCAATGTTCACGGATAATCCCGGATGTGCGTGAGTATATGCGGTTCGAGTTTGTTATTTTATTAATGGAAGTCGACTTATACTTTCAGTTGAGCAGTGGATAGGCGCTGCAGACAAGGACGAGCTTCCGCGTCCCTTTACTAAACACAGGAGACCATCTCTGGCATGCTTTCTCTTTGGAAAGGATCGAAGTGGCGACAAGTGGTCTGTCCTCCGTTTTGACTCACACCTGCAAAATGAAAAACGAGTTGCCGACATGGAAATGCGCTATGGCGCCACGTACAGTGTCGTGGGGGTGAGTTGACTGACATACTTTCACCTAAATTAACATTCTAATTATAATATTTCGGATGATTCTAGTAATCCAGTTTGCTCATTTTCACATTATATATCTGTCGTCTGATATTTTGTGCAGCTAATTCCCTCCATCAGAATTTTTGTGAAGAAATTCAATGATTTATGCTTTTCCGAATTACAGCACTCTCGTGTCCCATAACGGACTGAATTTTAGTGATGGTGATGTCCGGATCAGTTTATGTTATGGTACAATGTGTACGTCGTTTTAAAATACCTGTGGTCAATCAGACTCGCCAAAGATTATCTGGCGGTCAAGGATATCGGATCACACTGTCAAACTGTAACAGGGAGTGGACAGATTTCGGATACTACTGACTCTGTGTTGCATCTGTAGGAACAGAAATTTTTAGTTATTCTGATAGAAATGAAGACTGCAGTTCATGAATATAAATGCTTTAGTCAATACTTTATATTGGTACAGGGAACCGTTTAGTGAGATTGTCTGACACAGTGATGGCGCAGGTGACAGTCTGGGACATATACATGTCTAGTCCGAGTTGCCGGAGTTGGAGGGTGGTAACTGGTTTGCGAGACTCCACACTGCCGAATATAGACTGACGGTTCTTGCCTAGGGATGAGCACGGTAGTCAATAATTCGTGCACGCTGACCTTCATTGTATTCCCTCAAGATGATTGGACGGCCGGTACTGCTTGTGCTGGCCTACTGAGTCTTGAGATTTTCACACGGCTGTTTTGTGTTTTCATATGATGGCCACCCCAACAGCGTCCCAACTGAAGCGTTGGGCATTTTCTAGTGACTTTGCAATGACGACGACAGCGCCTGGTGCCAACAGATGGCCAGTTGGTGATGTTAAGTAAGAATGTCAATGTGCCGATGCCTGTGTGGGCAACGTACAAACAGGGACACTGAATAAATGGAATACGAAAGAAGACACTGGCCATGTGTCTTAGTAGAAAGAATGCTACTCGCAAGCAGAATGCTGGCTTGTGCAATATTTGTATACCAAACTGGTTTCAATAAGAAGGCATGCCTTGTATAATTTCCTAGGAAATTAATGCGCGACCTTGGAGTAAACCTTTCGGAACAGACTTTTTCAGGAACGGTCCGAAATTCGATATGAGTATTTGGACTAAAATCCATCACCTACTGCGGAATAACCAAGTAATATTCTCAAATCGCCTACAGGTAGCCATTAGTATAGAACTGTGTAATTATTTACCGTGGTAACAACACAGGCATCAGTTAAAAGCCCAGACAGCGTGTTTCGCCGATCTAGTGCCGCTGCCTGGCGCAGCTGCGGGGGGTGCGGCCCATCAGTTGGTCCCTCAGCTTTCCCCGTGTGTTTTCTTGTATATAAACTCCAGTTTCAACTTGTCCTTTTTAAGTTCCAAGGAAATAAATGCGCGAACTTGAAGTAAACCTTTCAGAACAGACCTTTTTGTGAGACTGGCTGACGCAGTGACAGCATAGGTGACAGACTGGTACACCACCTAAACCGTGAATTTTAGAGGTGTTCGACTTCTGCACGGATGAGTAACAAAGGCCTATGAATACCCTTCTCAACGCGCCAAACACTGAATACGCCTCCGAAGCATTTTAAGTATATTTAAAAATGTATGTTCTCATTTACATTACCCTTTAAATGTGTATTGATAACAGTCAACATATACAGTGCTTTACTATAAAATAGAAACAAGTGAAGAGGAAGAGTCGAGCACCGGACCAATTCGTTTTTTATCCTGAGCTTTCAGACTCGTACAGGAGTCCATCCTCAGAGGTAGTGACAGAAACAGGATAGGCGACAGTTATAAGGCACGTAGACCCAATCATCGACCGACGTCGCACGACTGGAGGTGACCACGAAGGGCTCTGTACGCCGGCGCCAGATCGATAAATCGATTGACCGAGTTCTCATCCGAGGCCCAGGCTTCAATCAATTCTCGGCCTGTCTTGTTTCCGGCGTGGGCGACTATTTTGTTGGCTGCGAAGTCAAACTCGTGACCCATTTCGTAGGTGTGGGCGGCCACTTGTGATAGTGCGTCGCCTCGCCGTACAGCCACCTTATGTTCGTGTATGCGCGCTCCGAGCATGCGTCCAGTCTGTCCTGTGTAGTTGCAAGGACAATTTTGACACGGAGTGCGATACACTACTCCAGATTGCTCTTCAGGTTTTAACCGGTCTTTAATTTTCATGACCCTGCTGCGCATGGTGGCTTTGGGGCGGTGTGCAATTCCAACACCTAGCTCCGCAGCAATGCGCTCGGTCGTTTCTGAAACACCCTTGATGTATGGCAGAGAATGCCATATCGTCGGTGGCGTTGATGTTCGAGTTCTCGGGTGGCGACCGCGTAGGCAGCGACTCATGAATGCCTTTGGATAGCCATTTTGCACAAACTGGTCGCGAAAATAACGGGCCTCACGTGCTCTGTCCTCCGGTTTGCTGCAATGACTTTGGATCCGTTTGAAGAGCGTCTTCACACAGCTTCCTTTGTGAGCCACCGGATGGTTGCTGCGAAAACTCAGACGCTGTGTGATGTCCGTAGCCTTCCTATAAACATAGAAACACGTATATATCGTAAATACGCATGTTTGCGTCTACCGTTCGCTACTCTGCGACCGTCCAAGGCATGTCAACGTCTGACATATCATAATCAGCACATCTCGATCCTCGCACGCTGGTGTGCTCTGGTAGTTCTCCGGTGTCTGATTCGCTGGCGAAAGATGCGCTCGGGCGCCCGCTGGGTAAACAGGTCGTAAGCATAGCTACCCAGTCATCCAGGTCTTTTTTGTTGTTGTTTTTGTCGTTTATCAAATTCCTCGTCAAGCGTTTGTTGTGGAGTGAAGCCCCCATGACATTCGCCTTTGTCCACCCCGTCTACGACCTTCTTGACTCTGTCTTGGCCCCAGGCCCAAATGGAGGAGAGAGAGAGAGAGAAAGTTTAATGAGCCCAGTTATTTGATACCGCGACCCCATTTTAAGACTAAGTCGAGAAAATCCAAGCAAATAGGCCGCGTTAGAACGGACTTGATCGAAAGTGCCGTCCAGAGAGGAACGAAGGCAGTGGATGAAGGGTCAGTTAGTCAAGTTGAAACTCACACCAGGTCGAGTATCCGCGTAACCGTTGCACAAACTCCAAGATAAACAAAAGTGCATAAATGCGAGTCTGGGAAGCGCTTAACAAATAGAATAACTATAAAAAGTTGCATATAAACAAAATATGACGAAGGGTTGCTACAGGAGTGCACAAGTCAACATTTCCTATAAACTAATTCACACACAAATCACCGTGCCTGTTTTCATTCGACTGTGGAGCACACGGTAGACATCGTCGGATGCGACGGTCAAATTATCATTCTGTGCCCGTCCACGTCTTCCCTGAGATACTGAACTCTCGTTAGCGCGTCTTCTGTTTGACACTGACTGTTATGATACCACTTTCTTTAGTTGCAAGAGGGTATAATGCAATAAAATTGCGGTGCAATCTCTCTCTCTCTTAATCAGGTATGTACTGTGTATACAAGGTAAATTAAATGAGTGCTCAGATAATAGATAATACAGTAATGTACCGTATAGAGTAGAAAAATATACACAGTGCTAAAATTTATGTGCGGGTGCTTGCCGATAACGATGTTTGATGATGATGATGATGATGATGATGATGATGATGATGATGATGATGATGATGATGATGATGATGATGATGATGATGATGATGATGATGATGATGATGATGATGATGATGATGATGATGATGATGATGATGATGATGATGATGATGATGATGATGATGTAGCAGGCTGTTCAGTGACACCGTGATGGGGGGTGTGTCTGTAAGGAGATGATATGGTCAGACTTGGTTATGTAGCCCCACCTGCAGAAAAGGATCCCCAGCCACCTGTAATACAGGATTTGCGGTAAAAGGGGTTTTTACGGGTGGGGCCGGCAACGCACAGGCGAGGAGCTCAAGTAAATGAAAAGCTATTGAGAATACGCGGTTGTACTTTGAGTGGTTGATAAATAGTTGCCGTTATCCTAACCTCCAACACTGACTCCTAACTCTAAACCCTAAGCCTACCCCCTTACCCAGACCGCAACAGTATTGTCTTCACCAGGCGGGTCTACATAACCACATCTCACCGATGATATATATCGTCTGTCTTACATCAGATTTGTTTAGTGAATCAGACACCTCTAAAGCTGGTTGCCCACATCTTAGGCACATTTTGTATTTTTCCTTCCCGTCACCAAGGATGAAAGAATTTTCGTGGTTGGAGGGCAGACTACAGAGCAGATTGGCTCAAACTGCGTTGACGAGTTCCTGGTGGAGGAAAGGCGCTGGCTCAAGCGGGCGCCCCTTGCCATCCGACGCCGAGATCACGCCGCCGCAGTCGTGAAGATTAAAACCGCGGACAGGGAGGGTGGAGAGGAAGCATTAATTGGCGTTTTTGGTGGGTCTTACAAGGAAGGCGACACCTGGACATTCCTTTCGTCATGCGAAATTCATGACGTCAATCAGGCTAGGTGAGTAATTTTTTTAGAAGCTGTTGGTCATCTCTCTCTTTCTTCTGTACTTGATCTTCCTCAAATCGCCCCAACAGATGGCATAAATTACCTGATCTGCGGGAGAAGAAAAACGCCCCAGCTGCTGTCTGCCTGCCCGGCGACAATCGCGTCTTCGTTTGCGGCGGTTGTGATTCCTCCTCCGTGGTTGCCACCGTGGAGGTCTGTCGCCTGCGAGCGGACTGGCGGCACGTGGAGGCGAGTTCAGTCGGCACCGATGACTTTTGGCTACCGGCTGCACCCATGCGAAATGCGCGTGCATTTCTGGCAGCGGCGCCCTTCAGAGGAAGGATCATTGCTGCCGGTGGACAGAAGAATGGAAAAGCTGTCGACATTGTAGAGATATTCTCACCACCAGATGCCATATGTCCGCTCGGCCAATGGACAGCGCTCGCTAGGATGAAGCATCCTCGCTCGTCGCCCGCCATTCTCACATCCGCGGACGCTGTCTTTGTTCTTGGTAATGCATACGCCTTTGTTCCAGATTGATGCATATAAAAATCTATTGATCTGGTTCGATCCAGCGCCTTTTTTGACCCTTTTATACGAAAGTAGAAACATCGAAATATCCGTATCTACTACTGGTTGTGGGTAATTCGGCACTTCGGCAATTCGGAAATCTGACTTGATCTATTATTTCCGATTTTTAATCCAGCATTATTAAATTCCTTTAAAATTTGTAGGTAGCACTAAAGAATTCCGGAATACGGTAGAGGCACTCTCTGCACCCGAAGGCCCTGTTGACTTCAGCAATGACTTGACCTCCTGGATCTGGTCTTCAAAGGGCTCAGTGGAAGCGCTTTGCCATGTTGTTGGAGCTGCAAAAATTCGCACTAAAACTTGTGCGATTTTGTGAAGCAGGTGGTTGTTTGTTCACTCATCGCAAGTTAAAAATAAACGTCTCGTAAGTAACATGTTCCAACTTCTCATGTACCGTGAACTTGGGCGAGGTTGTTTCTGCAGCCCCACCTGAGTGATAACACTATGTTAGCCGGTAACAATAGGGAGGTGGCACCCAAAAAGTCCGTTTAACCAAAGCAGCCTGTCTTACGGGACAGGTGGCAATAGGGGTTTTATGGGTGGTGGCTGGTCGGGATGTACGATACTGGCCGACGAAAAGGCTTATTTGAACAGGTTACTGATCGAAGTTAACCCGTTCTACATTCCGTTATTATAAAATGGGTCGCCAAAGCAGTATAGCAGTAACGGACGAGTGGAAGGCATATAATCGTCTTCCCTCAAAAGGTTATTTACATTTCTCTGTTAACCACTCAAAGAACTTCAAGGACCCTACTACTGGACGGCACACCAATGCCATTGAGGCATACTGGAGTAGACTGAAAAGAAAACTCCACAAGGAAGGCCCTGTATGTGGTCGAGTTGTGTGGGCTCACATAGACGAAGTATAGTCGAAAAGAAATTCATTCAAAAGTCGGCATCCTTGCGCACCTGGAATATTAGAGTATCCTGCCTCATGTTAATCAATATCGCAAACTAAACTAATACTTTCAAGCCAAAAACGTATTTCAGAGCAGTGAGGAGATCGGTCACCGACTTTTTGTCACCACCACCACCACCACCACCACCACCACCACCACCACCACCACCACCACCACCATCATCATCATCATCATCATCATCATCAGCTTTTTTCGACTCCCTCTTCTTACTAGGCTGGGCAGATGCAGCTGTGATCTTAGGCCTGACATCCTCCTTGATGGCTAAAATCACCTCAACGGAACAAAGGTAGGACATGTGAGGGTTGGTGCGCCCGTGAGCACGATAGGGACGGCAGCGAGGGAGGGGGCAAGATTGACCTGAGCGTTAACTCTGTCGCAGTTAGCGTCGGCGAGCCAATCAAAGAAGGCGCGGTGCTGATTGGCTTTGAGCCCCAACTAGGCTAGTGACAAGCCTCACGTGGTCCTAGCAGCGAATCTACAGGGAGCGCGAGGCGGACGGAAGGACAGCATGACAAAGCGTCGCACAGGAAGGAGGCGCGTACCGCCACCATATGGCCGATCAGGGTATGCTTATGGTAAGAGTAAGGTTTAACTGTACAGGCACACCTGAAAGAAGCGTCGTTGAAGTGTGCGGAGGGAGGCTAGGCTGCGATAGACCTAGGGTGGGGCCGTAAAGTGGGCCTCCATACTGGAAAAGAAAGCAAGTCAAAGTGGCTTCCTTTAGAGTATGTTAGACCGTAGATTGTGAAAAATAATATACGCAGTTGAGATTAGCAGCATATATAAAATACTGGGCGTGTTTAATTTTAAATGAACTGCCATAGGCGTAAAGAGAAAAATAAATTTGAATTAACATGGTCCTTAGGAGGAGGCTGCCTATAGTACGGCTGCCACTTGGAAATTCAGCACCCACGAGGACATTTTACGTTCGACCATATAGTTAGTGGAGTCAATAAATTAACTGCTAATTCCAAAGGCCTCCAGTTTTATCAAGAATCGTCTGTGGGGAATTTTTTCAATGGCTATACCATGATCGTAAACAACAATAGCCACAGAGAGAGGATCATAATGAAGATAAGGTATTAACTTGTGAAAAGTCAAATGACCCGCTCCGCAAGGAAGATCTTAGCCATGATATGAAGAGCTAAGAACTTGGTCTACTATGCGAAAATCAATAACTATGATCGCAATTACTTTTTTAAACAGTTTAGTGAGAGAGGACGCTTTGTGAACGATCCGATAATTTTAAACATCAGAATGAGAGTCTGCTCTAAACACTGGAATGGTATTGGAAGATACCATTCTCGAGAAATAGTGAGAAGACTTTATTCAGACGTGGATAGCAACAGCTTAGCAATTTAATGGGATAGGTCGGGATGTTGCCAGTTCCATATGAAAGCGAGGTACTAACCGTTTGTTTATCTGTTTCTGAATACTGGCAAATTCAGAATAAATAGGGGCGAGGAATTCGGAGAAGGGGTTAGTTTCAAATGTGAAAGGATTGACAAAAGTGGGATTTGCAAATCATCTTTGCCAAACTCTTCTGTAGTGAAAACGTCACTATAATCAAACAAAGACGGAGTGGGTTAGTGGAACTTTGGCGGAAAACCCGTCCAAGAGATTGTGAAGGATTTGCAATACTAAAAGCTGACAATCCTCTTTGTATACTTTGTGCGATCACCACGTTCGGAGCTAAATCAAATATTCGAGCGATTCTCAGCCCAGCTTGCCTGCAGTGATTTTATATTGAAATTTAACTCCGCTATCTCTATTATTCGCAAGTTGTTCGACAGAAATTTGTCTGTTGTTCCCCCTCTAGCATCTTAACTTCTTGGCTCACTCGATTACTCGGTTGCCTGAGTAAAATTTGATAGACAGAAAATGACATCGAACTTCCTTTTGAAAATGTCCTCAGGTCCACACAACCGATTTTTGCAGTTGACCTTGACTATAAATCAGTGGATACCAAAAACGACCATTATCCTCTTCCATAACGACCGTTGCGCTAGTAGAAAGAATAAAACAACTTACTATTATTGTCTACAAGCTACGCCTGGTCTGGGCTTCTGTCCTTTCACAGGCAGCAGCTTCTTTTTTCCTAAATGACCAAAACTGCCAAAAACGCCACTGGCTATTCCAAAGGTTCTCTCACTGGTGGCTCGACCTACGCTGTATGTTTATCTTGGCAATGCCTGTTAACCGGCTTAAATTGAACTTATTATTATTGTTATTATGATTACTATCATTCTATTTTATATTTTACGTGGATATGCCCAAGAAACGTGGAATACATCCCTTCCAGCTCTTAAGACAGGATCGCGATTTACCATTATTAACCATCGGGACATGCATAAAACGCCGAGGCCACAAAACGCACTGCCTCAGACTTAGGCGTGGGCATCGCTCATTATCCGGCGGCTACCATGCATGTCAGAATCATGAAAATGAAGGATCGGCCGGGCGCAGGTGAGCAGTCGGGCGTAGTCTATCAATTCCCGCACCATAACAGTCCTTACCACTTCACAGACCAAACAGGACAACGTTTCAGCTCACGAATACTGCGGCACAAACGGGCTGTTCGGAGAGGCGACCTACTATCTCGAGTCGCCATTCACACGCTAGTGGAAGGCCATGAGTTGGACTTCGTCAACACGCGGATATTGGCGCGAGTCGGTAACAAGACGGACTGAGAACTATCGCAGGCGTGGGTGTCAGACACCAACTCTAGCAATAGACACATTGATTTTCCAGCGTGGTATCACACACTCCGCCCACGAAGCCAGGTGGCGCAGCTCACATCGTCGCAAAGTACAACTCGCGTCACCACGCCGGGGAACCATCGTGGACCAGACGGCAAAAACCAGACCTGGCCACGGGCGTAGTCCCCCCATCACGACAAAACGATATAAATGCTCATATGTTGCTGCACTCTAGCAGTGTCTGATGCTGAACTTCAGTTAGAGTTCGAAAACTAAGGCCAATAACTGTATCGTCTCAGTGATAGTGCCTTCGTCTTCTTTTAAGTAAAACACCGTCTCCAGAAAACTCCTTGAAAATATCATTCTCAAAGTGGTTGAAAGTAAGCGTGCTATCCGCCTACAGACACCTTTATCAGGGCGTCCAAAAGGCATGTAGACGAGCTGACGGTCCCTACTGTCGCAGAGCAGCGCTTCACACTCGCCACAGCGAGGGGTGTCGCGCGAAGCGGTGCCGCCTACGCCAGCAGACACAATCAGCCAACGACTGGCAGACAACGCCGACATCAAGATAGAACTAGGTCTTTTGATCGTGTTAGTCATTTGCTTCTTCCCTTCGAGTTTTCGACTATCTAAATAAGATCGCAGCTTGTGAATCTTATTCCTTCTTATGGGGGCTCTCGTATACAGAGCGCTAAGATTTTGAATGCTTAGGTTAAGAAACGGCGAGTCACTTAATGTTCTCAAAGCGTTCCTGATAAGGAAGACCCAGTCAGCGCCTGGTTCAAATTCCCGGCCCCGACCCCTCAAAGTCATTTTGGGGACTGAAGCACAGGAACAGCTCCTGTAACGGAGAAAATCATCTCTGAGGGGTCAGCATCCGGAAGTTTTTCAGCCGGATTACGAGCCAAAAGAGCGAATGAAAATGAGAGAGTTGATGACAGAGCTGGAAAAGCGGAGAAGCAGCGGCGAAACACGCCTACAAATCTATAACGGACAAGTAATTCAGGTCAAAAGGACATTTCTCTGGCCGAAGGCCGTCATCTTGACTGCCTAACCAATGCAAAGATACCAATTCCTGAGGCTGTTTTCACCACTGGTCGCTGTATAGAAATCTGTTACTGTCAGAGTCTCCTCAACAAGCTAGATGTACTCAGATTACTAGTCTTCGAACAGAACCCTCACATAATTGTCCAAACAGAAACATGGTTGACTGAGGAAATAAGTAGTAGCGAAGTCAGTATTGGAGGTTACCAAGTGGTCTATTGTGACAGATTTCAACGTAGAAGTGGAGGCACAGCGATTTAGTTGTCAGATGAAATTCCGTGCTTTCAGCGAGAAATATCCGATGGGGCGCAGCGAAATTTTGAAATGATTTCATGCAAGATATGTGTCGACAATCTGTGTGTTGTCTATCGGCCTCCAAGCTTGAATGAAATCGCAGATATGGAATAACTTAGTGCACTGCAGTTGTTATGTAAGCAGGAAAACTCACTACTTTTAGGCGACTTTAACGCTCTAGGAATTGACTGGAAATTTCCCTTAACAAATTCCCCGTCCAAGTCATTTGACCACAAGCCACTACAACTCTCACTGAATAAATACCTCATTCAACGCATAAAATTCGGATCAAGACTGAGAGAAGGACAACGTTCTAACTGCTTAGGTCTCGTTCTTGGTAAAGAAGAAGGAATCATAAGAGAAGTGAATCCACAACCTCCACTTGGTTTAAGCGATCATATTGCATTTACATGCGTGTGGTCTCTCCTATCGAACCAACAACCAAAAATCAAGAGACGCAGAAATATTTGGACGAGTGAATTAACCGCAATGAGACGTACTCTTTAGAAGGAAACTTACTTAGTCAACAAGGACGATTTAGAAGAATACTGGCGGTAATTAAGTGGGATTATAGAAGAAACAGAGGATGTAGAAAAAGAACCTTAATTTTCAAAATCGAATATTACTCACTGAAGATAAAGAGCAGCGCAATGAATTTTGTGAACAAATACGGGTTGTTAAGAGTTTTTGAGAGCGCCGACTAATAACAGCATCCATTGCATGTCCCAAGAAGTTTTATGGGTACATTCGCAGTAGAAGAAAGCATATGGATGAAATTGCATGTCTAAAATATAGCCTCAAAACTTATTAGTTGAAGGACCACAAGAAGTACAATCACTGTCTCGGTTTTTTTAATCGGTTTTTACGGAGGGTCCTCTGAAGTCAGTTAGCCTTTTTAAATGGGCCGAGACAGCCGGGAGCTTCAAATGCTCCAAGATACTGTCGTCACTGAAACCGTTGCCTTTTCCGTCGAAGAAGTAAGACGCGTCCTCAGTCAAATAAAACACGACAAGTCTCCCGGACAGGACGGAATTCCCGGATTTAAACTTAAGGAGCTATCAACGGAACTGTCAAAGTCTCTTTCGGCTCTCTTTGAGCTGTCAATGAAAAGAGGAATGCTGTCATCGCAGTGGAAGACAGCTAACCTCGTTTCCATACATAAGGGAGGTAGCAGGGTGGCAGCAAGCAGCTTTAGATCTATAATCTAAGCTTGGCTCTCATGCAAAATGATGGAAGCTCTAGTAAAGTGTGTTAAAGA